CGATGGGGGGTAACCTGCGGCAGAAGGCGGTCTCGGAGATATCCAGGTCCGATGCCATGGAGCGCTTTAAAGATGATAACCAACACCTTGAAGCGCACCCGGAAGGCCACCGGCAACCAGTGCAGCTCGCGCAGCAGCGGCGTTACATGGGAGCGACGAGTCCCTCCCAACACCGCCCGCGCGGCCGCATTCTGGACCATTTAAATTGTACACATTTAAATTGTACAACCGCTGCAAAAAAGGTTGTAAAGTACAACAAAAATCATGAAAAGTGCAACAGCGGAAATTTAACTGAGAATTACTTAATACTTACAGGTACCAATGTGAATGTCAACACAATACTTGTGGGGAAACCTGTGATCATTGCTGTCCAGGGTATAATCAAAAAAGCTGGCAATCTGCAACAGCCACTAGCCCAAATCTCTGTGAACGTAAGTCATGCGGAAAGACAAGTGTTGCTTTAATGTAAACACAGGTCACATTTGCAAGGTTTACATTGTATAATGATAATTAATAACTATGTAAATGGTAAGTAATACAAACATATATGAATCCCACAGTAGCTCTGTATTTCTTTAGATTTGAACTGTGATTCTGCAGTTTTGTAGAGCAATTAAATGGCCTTTTTTAATCTCTTGTGTCAAGCCAACTTGATTAAAGTTGGTAGGTGGGAATGCTTCTTGTTTCAAGCTGAGCACATATTATCTGCCTTGCTACTGATTGTGAAAAAGTCACTGCACGTTCTCTGTGCAATTTGTGGTGCTATTTTTTTTAAAATAAATCAGTGTTCCATTGCTCATTTTCTTTTTTTTGTTAAAAATAATTTTAACCCACCATCTTTCTCAGCCTGCAACTGTCATGGCCACGCCCTTGACTGCTATTATGATCGTGAGGTTGAACAACGTAAAGAAAGTTTAAATCTTCATGGACAGTATCAAGGGGGAGGAGTCTGCATTGACTGTCAGGTAAACCCCCTGTAACACCTTTTGTAGATTGATAAGTACATGAACGTTGCAAATAGCATGCTGAACTTCAATTGTTCTGAGCTAGAGAAGAGAGTAATTTTCTTTCACTCAAAGCTTTATTCAATTTTGATTGCAAAATATGCAGGACTATTCTGTAGAATTGAACTATTTTACCTTAGTAGGGCAATATCTAAGATTATATGGTTTAGATAGTGGTTGGGCCGTCTCTGCAGTCATGTGACTGAACTTCAAGTGCTCAGCAACCATTTGCATTTACAACTGTCCCATGGTCATGTGATCACGTTTTATGATGGTGTGGCTGAAACCCGGCACTTTCAGTTTTCAACAAAACCCTACCTATAAAGAACCTTTGGTTTGCTTAATGACTGCAGTTTTCACTTAATGACCACTGTAGAAAAGGTTGTAAAATGTTACCACCATTGATGGCAAACCTTTTAGAGACCGAGTGCCCAAACTGCAACCCAAAACCCACTTATGCATCGTCGGGTGCCAGGTGGGTGTGGCCCATTGGCTGGGTGTGGCCCATATGGTGGGCGTGGCTGCAGTGGTAAGGGCAGACTGGGTGGGACTAAAAAGTTCAATCAATCAATTCCAACTTTGCAAGATCTTTTTTTTCCCCGTGAGAAGTTGAAATTGACTGATTGAACCTTTTTTTTTTTTGTACACGGTGGTGGAGGCCTAAAGCGAAAAGGTTTTATAAAACCCAGCTGAAGGCTTAGGACTGGGGCGACGGCGTGTGTGCCCACAGAGAGGGCTCTGAGTGCCGCCTCTGGCACCCGTGCCATAGGTTCGCCACCACTGCGATATATGAATGTAATGGCAGGCTCCAATACAGTCTGAATTTGAAGATTATGTAGAGTCTGTTCCATCAGTTAACACCTTTAACAGGTAGAAAATTCCTCCTGATGCCTAGTTTGAGCTAACTTCCTTGAAGTTTTAGCCCACTGGTTCTGGCCCTGTCCTTTGGGCAATAGAAAATATGTCTACTCCCATTTCTGTACGACAGTCCTTAAGTTATTTGAATGCTATTACAATTCTCTTCAGTTGTCCTTTCATTAGGCTAGATCCTTTAACTGTTCCTCATGGGGCTTGTTTTCCAGTCTACTAATCATCTTGGTTGTCCTCCTCTGAGCTTGAATTGTTGTTACTGTCCTTTTGAAATAGGGTGCCTAGAACTGAATTCATCTTCCATATAAGGTTGAATTTATTACAGTTGATATTTTTAAGTTTATGTTTTATACCGGTATCAATGCTATGTTGGATATATGGCCATGTATATTAAGTTTGAGTCACAGGAGAAATCCCTTTTGTGTTAGGAAAACAACAGAGAAAATAGAAACAAGAATTAATAGATCAGAAATTCACACCAAGAAACGAATCAAAAGTCAAACACAAAAAATAAGTCATATGTTAGAAAGAGCTAGGAAAAGCTATAATTGGTTAGACAAAGTTGCACCTTCAACTCCTTGATGGTCCTTGCAGTTGATCAAATTGAGTGGTTAATCTTGGTAATTCCAGTTATCTGTGAAGTACCAGCACCCCATTGCTCAAAGAGATGTTTCATGATGGAATTCTGCTTGTTTACCATATAAATAGTTGAACCTTGGAAGATGGCAGCGCAATACTTATAATACAATCAGGTGGCACCCACAAAATCTCATCATCATACTGCAATAAAATTAAAAATAGAAATGTCCCAAATCTGATGAGATCTCATATGAAAATTCAGATATTTCATGATAATGTAAGCATTTTTAATTTTATTTGCCTTTTTCCTTAAACTTGATGCCCTATGATATTATATAAAATCATGTGATGGCACTCACCATCAGAAAATATTACCAATCCCTGATGAACCTAAAGTTACTATTTCCTGGTTCAGCCTGCATTCCTGATACATTGACAGAAATCACAAGTCATGGTACTGCTACATCAACCTTTTTCTTAATTGTGAAAACAAACTTAAAGTTGCCAAAACTTAAATTGTTTATCTCTTCTTTTGATTGTATTTCTCTTATGCCAATTTCTCCTTTATTTTATCCCATATAGCACAACACAGCTGGTATAAATTGTGAGAAATGTTTGAAGGGTTACTATCGTCCATATGGTATTCCAATCACAGCAGTGCATGGATGTATACGTATGTCAATTTTTCTATTATTTTTACTAGCCCATTCCCCTGAATATATTTTAATAAGAAAAAATAATTTAATATATTTTACCATGTGAAGTTTATTTATACTACGTATAATGCTTTTTATTTTAGATCACATGGGAAAAGTTCCCTGTTAGGGTGGCAAATGCCAAGACTGTTGGATAATTATACATTTTGTCTGTTTTAGTCTGTCTGATATTGTATATATCTCCTATAAGGCTATATACCCATGCCTCACAATGTACAGTCTCTGAAGTAGGATAATTTGAATCTGGTTATTTGTGCTGCAAGTGAGGTTATATTATTTAATGGTCTGCCATTTTATTCTTAAAGGAACTTCATGAGGAGGTGAAGTTCTTTTGAAGAACTTAACAGCTAAGGACCTGGTTTTGAGTCTGTTTTTTAGACATCTTAGAGATATTTCCCTACATGCCTCAAATTTTTAAAAGTTAGAGAAGTATCCATAAGGAAAGTATTTTCAGTGAATGTGTATATACAATTCTGTCTATAGAGTGCACTGTCCAGTGAGGTTCACCTGTACAGTATCAAATCTCATGTTCTTTTTGGAACTAAAGACCATTCCTTATTTACTGAGAGTCTTTTTTTGGGGAAAAAATGAAGACTACTGCTATGGTTCTGCTGCTTTGCACATTCTTTGCGTGAGCACTTGTGTGATTTAAACAATGTTTTACTTTGTTTTAACGGTTTTTGGTAAGCTGCCATGGAAGCAGAATACAAATGCCAAAATAAAGGGAAACATTGTATCACGGGCTCCATTGACAGTATGGTCATACAATTCCATTACAAGAGTCCTTAAAATATGGGAGCTGGTGGGGGTGAATATAAAATTGAACTGTGTTTGATACATGATAAATGATTCAGATCACTGTATTAACCTTCTAGAATGTAGTTGTAGCTGATTTCACACAAAATAAATGTATTTCCATTGTGAAGTAATAATTGCTTAGGTTTTTGTACTTAAAAAGGATATTGATGTGATAGGCTTCACACAGCATTTCAAGATAAAAAATAATATAATTATTAAATCTATTGCTGCCAAAGCAAAGTAGCAATTTGGTATACAATAGGAATTCCTGTTATTATAATTATAGTAAACTTAGTAAACTTTAGGAAATAAATGTGTTTGAAGAAAGCTTTTGATGATGTCATTTCCTGTAGCCTGCAGGTGTAGCCCTGAACATTCCAATGGCTGTGAAGAAGGGTCAGGTCACTGTTATTGTAAGCTGAACTATCAGGGTGAAGCCTGTGATCGGTGTGCTGATGGATACCATAGTTATCCTTTCTGTTACCGTGAGTGTAACAGCATGTCCAGTGAATCTCTAAATTAATATCCATTGTTTTATTCCAGATTCTCTTATACTCATTTTTATCAGAATGCTACCTCTAAGCATTCCTAAGTCATACTTCTAAATGTCAAGGAGGTAAATATTTTAGTTTATTGCCATGCAATAGTCTTTTCTGAAATATGAGCTAAAGCTGAACTTCTACAAGCATCTGGAATTATATCTCTGTGACAGATTAATTATCTAGATTGGAAATCAGGCAACTCTATTTTTAAACACACTTCCTGTCTGGATGAATTTGCTTCCCCCTGACTTCTAATTTTTTTCTTTCTCTGTTTGATGTTCCAATGCTATAATTGTTTTTCAGTCTAGTGCCACTATAGCACTTATGGAATGTGGTCACTAAAAATTGTAGTAGAAGAATAATTGTGTCAAAGTCTTGCTATAAATATCAAGATGCAGATATTTGCTAACATGGAGATATTGCAGGAGCTGAAACATGGGACAAAATGGGACAAAAGAGGGTCTGAATTAGAAATATATTACCTTGGTAGAAAAAAATAGGAAGAAGGAAGTTCTATTCTATTAAATTTTCTGACTGCATAAAAACTACAGGGTATCCTTCAACAGCCAGTCTTCTTTCTTTCTCACTTTGTGAGAGAGAAAATTCTTATTGGAAGGAAAGAATAAATCAAGGTAAGAGAAGATGAATATTGAGCAAGAGATGGATAAGATAAGTTCATCTAGCCTTTTTCATAACCTAGACTAGTCAGTTTCCCAATTAGTTTGGGAACTTGTTGTTTTGAGTTTCCTTAGTTATTGATTGGCAGTGAAGTTTGGACAATATTGCAATAGTCATTGGGAGTTGGGCGGTGTATAAATTGTGTTAATAAATAATCCTACTTATTTTGAAGTTTAGCTGACTTCAAAAAGGGGTTGGACCAATTCATGGAACTCATGCAAATCAATGGCTATTAGTCTCGAAGGCAGTCTGCTGGTATCTGAAGGCTATTTCTTGGGACCCTAGTGGGTTTCCTTGTGCAGTTGGTTGGCAACTATGAGAACAGACTACTGGGCTAGGTGGGCAGGAGTCTGATCCAGCAAGGCCAAGCTCACATTCTTGTGCTAGTTTTCCCTCAATATTGTAATTGAATGATAGAATACAATGCTTTCCAGAGGTTGAACTTCTGTTATTCCATTACAATACTGTACCTACCATGGGAGCAAGTGATGTGAAATACTCTGGCCTGAGATTCTGGAGACACAAACATAAGCAGATGGATTAGTCTATATAATGTAACACCTCTCCTGCGCGAGCTGCACTGGCTGCCTGTGGCCTTCCGGGTGCGCTTCAAGGTGTTAGTAACAACCTTTAAAGCGCTCCATGGCAATGGACCTAGTTATTTGCAAGACCGCCTCCTACCAAACACCTCCCTTTGACCAGTCCGCTCCCACAGAGAGGGCCTCCTTAGGGTGCCGTCGGCCAGACAATGCTGGCTGGCGACCCCCAGGGGGAGAGCCTTCTCTGTGGCAGCTCCTGCCCTCTGGAATGACCTACCCCCCGACCTACGTACAGTTGCAGACCTGCGCCTTTTTCGCCGAGCCCTGAAGGCCCATCTATTCCATGCGGCCGGCCTGGCGTAGTTTGATTATGTTTTAGTGGGGGTTTTGTATGGGGTATTTTTAGAGCAGGCCTGTTATTTAATTTGATTTTAGAACAGAAATCTGCGTATATTTATCATGGTTTTTATTATTGCCTGTTCACCGCCCTGAGTCCCGTAAGGGAGATAGGGCGGTATATAAATTCAATAAATAAATTCAATAAATAATAATAATTCTCTATATTCTTTTCACTGAGTTTATTTTGGCAAGTGGTAGGAGTGGTCTCAGCCAGAATGAGCAGCTGAGAAGAATGGACTTTTCATGTGAATTTTAAAAGTGTATCATACAGACATATATTTAAAAATGCATATGTAAGTACTATACACCTACACCAGCAGACACCTGCAGAGGATGTCAACCTTTGCTGATTAAGAGTTTATCCATCACAGGGCCCTCTGGCATAGGAAGCTTCTTAGCACAGGAAATCTTTAACTGGAAGCTATTTGACATCTGTTTCTGCACCTGGATTATTGCTCTGCAATTCCCTTAGTTATTTAGAGCTTTGTCTAGGCAGCATCAACCTCTCCCAACCTTGCAACTTCAATCAAGATATTCTTGGCAAATGCTGTTACACTGTCGTGCTCTTCTCTCTTCCGGTATTAGGCAGCCGTTGCAGACCAGGATATTTTGGAACACATTGTCAGCGTAAGTTTTGCTATTCTTCTGGGAGATGCCAAAGATAACTGCAGGGCAATATCACTAGGAGACTTTTTCCCCACTCCTGTTGTGCTTGAAACCCGAGGCTATTGTTAACATTTTTAATTCATTTCTTTTAAATACAGCCTGTCAATGTTATGGCTCAGGGATGTTCAATAATGATATTTGTGATCGCGGTACAGGTTCATTATCAATGCTAGACTGGATTTCAGGGTATTCTCTGTGACAGATGTGCGATTGGGTATTTCCATTACTCTTTCTGTCGAAGTAGGTCATGATTTGTTTTCATATTTTAAGCACTTATAAATGGCGTTCATCAGGTGAAAAGGCAGGTTATAAAGTTTAAAAACGAACACAAGTTAAACAGTCACTGAGGTGTCATAATAATATATTGAGAACTGAATTTTGTTCTAATTCAGAGTTCTCAAATTTCTAAAAATTAAAAGATTTTTTTTTTAAATTAAGACTGGGGCACATTTATTTATATACACAGAAATATTTGTGCTTTAAAAAAGGCTTTTAAATCAAAAGGTAAGATAATTACATTTTACCTACAGACAGAATCAACTATCCACTAAATCAAAACTTGGAGATGATAGAATTGCTATGCTGATGTTATCAGTTGTCTGTGCTGCATATTAGATGTCTCCCACATGGAGGGCAGTGTCTCTAAATTAACAAACACCAGTGAAAAAGATATAGGAATGTTTCAGGAGGTCTCCCAGTTTCCAGTTAGTTAAAAAATACCCTGCATGTACTAATATACTGGGACCTGGGGGGAGGAAAAAGCATAAGAAACTTTTTGTGTAGTATATTGGTACCTATTTCATTGGCTCAAATGACAGAGATAGATAAGAATTTTTTAAAAAAAATTCATTCTTTCTAAGATTCATATCTTTTTGCAGCTTGTCAGTGTTCACGGTATGGCTCCTACCAAGACACATGCGATCCAACCACAGGCCAGTGTGAATGTCAACCTGGTTTCATAGGCCAGCAATGTGACAGATGTATCTCAACAAGTAGAACTTTTCCTCATTGCCAAGGTAAGAATTACAAGGACAGTTTTATTCATAGAAACATTGTACAATCAGCAGCTGGTATGGATTTGTCTGAGACCAGGAGATTTTGATCCGCTCAGCTGCAAACATACCTTGCAAAGAAGTTGATTGCTTTTGATAAAATGCTTGGCATCTTGAACTGAGTGGGCGTTTTGGCCAGCCCTGATTCAGCACAGAGAAATGCTTTTTTATTATAACTGATTATTCATATTCTGAAGGACATCTGCTGTGGAGATAAACCGTGAGTCACTGTTGAGCAAGGTCAAATTCTTTGAACTTAAACTTCCTGTATAAATTGATAAAAAGTTTTGAGAATAATACTACCTTTTTTTAAAATTGTTAAAAAGGGGTCATCAATGAATGTGATCCTGCTGGAACCAGAGATTCTTTTTCTGTAAGTATTATATTATATAATTAGCAGAGTATTATATAAGTGGCATGAAGTGATAGCAGTTTGTAAGTGCAAAGACCAATTATTAGCCACTTTTTCAGTGCCTTCGTAACTTTGGTGGTTGTAAGTCAAGGTCTACCTATACCATAAGAGATGCTTGATTGTGGGAAGTGAAATATTCTGTTGCAATAATAGGAAGCTTTTTCATCAGAAGTATTTAAACAGAGGCTAAACATTCAGAAATGTCTGGGAATCTCAATATGAAAGGTCAAAAAATGTTATGGATTCTTTGGCAAAATGGCTGTGTGGGATATTGGCCCATTCCCAGAATGGCTCCCTTGGGAGACATAAAACATAGTTTTATCAGCCTTGAGTGCTTCTTTTTACCCTACTTGCTTTTCTCCAGACAAAAAAATGAGCTGCTCTTGCAATCATGTTTATTTTCTATATAAAACATGAAAAGATGAAGAGAACAAGGACCCATGTGACACTCTGTGGCACACACTAGTGTTTTTGGTGCCACGTGGAAAACTTTTGTCCTTGTTGGAAGAGTTCTATATTAAGTAAGGTATTTTTAAAAAATAATTTCTAAGATGGCCTCTGCTGTAAGATTTTCCACTTTTTGATGTAAAGTCCTCAGCTCTCCTTTCGAGTCCTGTAAATATCACAGTTGGTATAGTCTAATATTTATGAACTAAGGTTCACTTGTGGATATAATTGACAGCTTGTTTGTTAAATCAGTTCTACACCTGTAAAATTGTTCCCTATTTCAGTTTTCTATATTGATCTGCATCATTAGCCTGTATGATGCTTAGTTTTTTTAAATAATAAATTTCTTTTCTTCTTCATTGTTAGGGCTATTGCCAGTGCCTACAAAATGTAGAAGGCCCAACTTGTAGCATCTGTAAGCCACTTTATTGGAACCTGGCTAGTGCTAATCCTTATGGATGTATAGGTAACCGTTCATATAATGAAAATCAAGTCTATTTTCCTCCTATTATTTTCAGACCATTCCAGTTTTTCCAAAATTATTTTGTGTTCATCAGCCTTGAAAGGAATAGAGTTGTGATTCCATGCTACTGAAAGACAGGAGTGTTTGTGAGGCCTTTCAATGTGTAACATGGAGTTTTTGCTTTTTTGTTTATGAGGCAAAACGCTAATGTATTTTGCAAAATGCATACTCTGCATTATATACAATATGCTGCAAATTGATGTGTACTGTATTTCTTCTCCCACAAATAATTACATCATCTATACAGCAATGTGCTTGCATCAATCAAAATAAAAATTAGTACTGAACTGACATTATTAATTAATGTAATGATCAATGCTGGACAAAGAAGTTTGATTAGGAAAAAGAAAACAATGTTTGCAGCAGACTCATTAGAGAAAAGAGTTGATATTTAGCATGATCAAGAATAAATGAGAGAGAGATAGTATGGTTCAATTGATTGCATCTCTCAGAATCCCAGTAAATATGGAAATTGCAGGGCAGATCTCAGGTTTATTTTTTGTACTTCTCCACTGCCACCATCTTGAAGTTAATTGTTGAAAGAGTAAATGCTATTTTCATTTAATATTTTTATTCAAATATTTTTATTCTGTTCTAATCTTTTGAGATCTTTGCTTCCTTATCTCCATGATTTTTAACATTGTGCTTGAAAGTAGAGGTTTGGAGAACTGGAAAACTAGTGTGCTTTGTACTGGTGCATCATTGCTGGTATTTTATTTTTTTTTAGTATTATGTAAAGAAAGTCAAATCTGTCTATCAGTTGTACAAAACCACCAGAACCAAAATATCCAGGATTTGTCATTTGATTAGTGAACTCCAGTATTATAATGAATTTCTCATTAGCTGGGATTCAGATAGCTTTGTTTTCTTTTGCAGACTGCCAATGTGATATAGCTGGAGTACTAAGTGGAATTAGAGAATGTCAGCAGGTAAAAAACATTTTATTTACTAACAGTTTATTTACATTCTGTTTACATTAAAAAATTACAGAAGTCTTTTTATGAAATAAAAAAATACAAATTTATTTTATAATTTTTTTTAATTAAAGATTAAAATTACAACAGTGAAAATGAATACAAATTAAAAAAAATAGAAGAATAAAAAGAAAAAAATAGAAATTCCAAAAAAAAGAAAGAAAAAATATTATAGTGAAGAAAAAAATGGGAATATATAAATAAATGACTTCTCCCTTCATCAGAACAAGTATAATCAATGTTAATGACATTATTTTCTCTTATAATACAACAAATCTTCTTCCCATATCCTATCCGTTATCCAGAAACAAATCCTTAAAGTCTTGTTCAGTCATGATCAGCAAAAGTCATTAAGGTTACCAGATATAACAACATATTCATTTTAACCTTGATAAAATAAACCAACATCATATTCATTCCTTTTATTTTTAACAACCTTGATCTTTACTTCCTTCAATTTCTGTACTGGAATTATGTTTCTTTTCATCTCTTCTTTGTCCCTTCTCACAAAATTCTTCAAACTTTAACAAGCCTCTTTTGTAAGCCCAAGTTATGAAAATTATCCAGGTCATAGTCTTGATTTCTTATTTGTATATCACTTTTTAATTATTAAGACATTAGCAGGGTTTTTTTTACATGTTCAGCATAATATTGTATTAATGTCATTCTTGTAGCCTGTCATTTGTAAATCAATTTTCAACTCAGTTTCAATCTTGTCAGTTAGTGCATGTTGATCTTCTGTAACATCTTTTAAACACAATCTGTCCATAGACACAGGCACTCTTAAAATTCGTGATACAGTTTAATGTTTTGCTTAACTTTATTTTTGCCTCTGCTTTTTAATTTCTTTATCATACAGTAAGTGTTCTGGAGAACACTAAAAACAACCTCCTGTGTTAAAAATAATGTAAGTTACTGCATTTCAAGTTGTAGATGATTTGTCAAGTTCAGTACTCCATAAATATTTTCTCACTCTTATCAGTACTGAAAAAGATCTTCCTCCATAATTCATTAGGAAGGATCACTAGTGGAAGACTCTCAGATTGTAACTCCTGAAATTTGTGAAGAATGAGCTTAATGGAAATGTGAGCATATGTTCTGATGTTCTCAGGACAATTTCTGATATATTTCACCTTATAAGAGTGTCTGCAGTTGAAAGTTGGTTGAAATATGACAGATCACAAGATAATGTTTTCAGTCTGTTCTACTACCTGGAACCTGTTTTCTAAATTGTGGGAAGACTTAAAACTTGTGCATTTCTAAGGAAGCAATCCAATCAAATATGCTGTTTGTGGCTGTATGCCCATTTGCCACATAATTCCAAAGTTTTCCTTTCTGCTACTGTTGGTATCAATGGAAAGGTTGAAATTGCCTTTGTTTTTTCCTTCCAACTCTCCTGTTATAGTTTGGTGGTGAGTGTTACTGTAAACCTAATGTTTGTGGAGGCCCTTGTGATACTTGTGAAGCTGGTTATTATGGCCTGGAAACCAAGAATTATTTTGGATGTCAAGGTACAGTATGGCTTTTTAAGAGCAAAATTTGATACAGGATAATACATTTCTGAAAATATTGTTTTTGTATATTATTGCTATATAACAGCTTTGCTGATGAACATTTTGGAATGCTTCTTATAAGTATGCAATTTTGAGCCTGCTATGTAAAACTTAGTAGGTTACATCTGCCTTAATAAACTTCAGTTATGGTAGTGAATACGGTAGATATTTCAAGAGAGGCAAGGGCAAGATAGAACAAGCAGTAAACACAGCTACCATTCATAGATTGGCTACAGTATAATACAATCAAACTCATTTATAATTGTAGCCTTTGATAAATATTTGGCTTAAATAAGACATATTTTAAAATAGATGGCCAATATAATAAATATTCAATGTTTTGCAAAATATTTTAGACTTTAGTATGAGAACCAGTTAGAAGATAATAGTATCTTCTTCGGTCATGGCCCTCACGAAAAGATAGACAAACTGCTATTGGAAGTGTGTATGATCCGGACTCCTTGTAAATGAGATGGTCTTCAACATTCCTTCTCATTCTGTGATTGGAAAACATTTTGTTCATCTTTCTTCCCACAGAGCCCTACAGTACTTCTAGTAGTGTGTTGTATTTGTTCTCTGACCAAAAGTTGATTTGATTCTATTTTTCATTTGCAGGATGCAAATGTGATGTGGGAGGGTCTGTAAGTCATGTCTGCAATGACCTGTCAGGTGACTGCCAATGCAGAAGGCACATAATTGGGAAAACTTGCATGGAGTAAGTAAAATGGGAAGACTTGTTTTGTGACATCCCTCCTCAGTTATGCAAAGCAGGAAAATCACAATGTTTTCCCTCATGCTGCAACAAACCCACAAGGTTTAAGGAAAGAAAAACGGAATAACTACAAAGTGTCTTTTGTTAGGCATTATTAGGCATTTTATATCTAGAAGCAATCTTCATGATTGATAATATAGTATGAAATAAGCTGTGGTTACATACAAAATTACAATATTTAAGTAGCCTGTACTACATTCCTAGATGGATTTCATGGGGCTGCACTCCAGTTGTGAATCTTACCAACAAGCTACCCATTTGCTCCTTTCTTTTTAGTTTTACCTTTGGTGAAGGCAGTTCTGTTTAAGTCTGGGATTGATGCTAATTCTGATAGTTTGCTTATTAGGGCTGTGCTATTTCTCTTTGCTATTTTTATATTAATCTACAATGTACTTAAAATATCCATGTGTTACAGCATGATTTGAATTTTGGATATGAAGTTATTTTTAGAGGCAAAGCAGGAAAATGGTACTTGAATAAATGATAAAATATATTGCTGATGTTAAGTAAATTAAAGCTTGATGTAAAGGGACAGTGTACTTTGCTAGGGATCCTGTGAGCTGAAGATAAGTTATTATCTTAAATGCAATAATGTGAAAAACTGTATGCTAAACAAATATTAGATCCAGTAGAGTTTTATGTTAATATAAAGCACATTAATGTTCAAAAAGAAACCAAGACATTATTATTATCTCATTTATAAAAGGCCTGAAAAGAATTATTACTTACCTGATTTACATCACATGAAGTTTGAAATTGAGGATGGTATATCTCCTAATGGAAGAGGAGTCCGATTTGGTTATAATCCTCAAGAATTTCCTGGCTTTAGTTGGAGAGGTTATGTACAGATGTCTTCAATACAGGCATGTACTTTACTTTGGTCCAGATATGCTGTGTGAATTAATCTTGGTCTGACATCACCATCTCTTTAATCCTGCTGGAATTGTTTTCACAGATTTAAATCCCTTTCTTTAGATCTGCCTACTCCCTGTCTAGATTTGTTGGCTCAGGTTACTTTTCATTCTTAAGACAGGAAAGATGATAGTTGTAATCTAACACATTTGAAGTGAACAAAGTTAGGAAAAACTGTTTTAGGTGGTGAAAGAGGAGATGGAAAACACAGCACCCTTCAATAAACTTTGGTCTCTTTATTACACAGTCTGCAGAAAGACCTAAGTGATGATTCCATTTCATTTTCTCAGCAGTAACTAAGATAACCTGGAACAGCATATATACCTATAACATTTTCATAACAATTATGTGCTTAAGGTTTATATACAAACCTTTAGATCCCATTGTTCTTCTATAGTCATATAGAAACATTTGACGTCCCTCTTTTTGAGCAACAGTGTTGGAAATTAACATAATTCAACCCATTACGAATGGTTGTGTGTTACAAAACCTGAATTTTTCTATGAAAAAAAATGGTACAGCCTAATTACCAAAAAGAAGAAATGTATTCAGAAATTAAATTAATTAGGTTTTGATTAATTAATCCCAATTCCTTTTAGGATGTTTGTTTATTTAGCATTGAGATTGGTTAGAAATCCATGTCTCCCAAATACCAATTAAAATGTAATTTATATGTATAGTTAAACTGAAGGCAGCTTGTTGACAACGCAGGAAATTATTCTTGGCTATTTTCTATGACATTGATTTGTGAGACATGAGATTACAGCCCATCTGCTTCCACTGAACTGGTCAACATCATATTTGAAAATAAGAACAGAGAGAGTAGGACTAACTTTTTTGTAGACTTCTGAGAGAAAAATGGAAGTAATATACCTCAAATCAAATTGTTGCATTTCTATGAACATAATAAAAAGGATGATTTTGAAGAAAATGATTGTCTTCAAACAATTATAAGAAGAGTAATGTATGGAACTCTTCCCAACTGTATCCCTTGCATTGATAACATTAAATTGGATTCTCTTGATAGTGAGCTATAACAAAATATTAACATATTAAAAGGAGAAACACCCTACTTTTCAAATATCTAATATAAAACTGGTCAAAGAATGGCCATAACACAAAGTATATAATATTTGATTGTTGGATGCAACATTTCACTGAATTAATATCAAAGTTAATTGGATAACAGTGCATGATACTACAGTCCCTCACTGATTCACTTGGCAATCATACCAGAAATGAAAACCCTGAATTCAGTGGGGCTTACTCTCAGACAGATGAATATAAGAAAGTTGATGAGTCTCAGACAATAGGCATTATTCTAAATATATCAGTTTATATGCTTGATTGGATTTCATTGTGAAATGTTTTATTCTTTTTGGACCTACAGTAAAGTTTACCCATTGTGTTTGCATTTTCTAATGTGTCTAGATGTTTCCTGTCTTTCGGTGGTAGTATTAAGTAATTTGCTTTCCTGTCCTCTTCTTTGCTTCTTATTTTCCCAGCCAGAGGTGGTAGTTCCTGTCACTGTGGCTTCTCCTAAGCTCTTCCATCTAGTACTGCACTATGTCAGCTTGGTTTCAAAACACTCTAAAGGGAAGATCTCAGTTGCTGAGGGAAAGCATTTTGACCCTAATAACACTTGTAAGTGAATTACATTTCTTGCTAGGTTTGCCCATCTTCTCTCTTCCTTACTTCAGGAAAGGCTTCTTTCTCTATGTATTCATCTGCATGTCTGTATCTATTTAGAGAGAGAGAAAAAAAAAACAGAGAGGGTTTCCCCCCCCCCCCCGATAGACATTGAATATTTTGCTTGCATGGCTTACCCTTTTGGCACTTTATGGCTGTCTATCTTTTTCTTGTTTTATTAACTTCCATTTTACAGAATGAAGTCAGGATAACTTTGAGTGTGAAGAAACCAAAACCCTATTTATTTCATGTTATCTTGAGATATATAAATCCTGGAACTGCAATAGTATCTGGCCACATAACAGCTTATCAATCCCGGACCCTAAAAGGTAGGTAAGCAGGACGGATGCAGAATTCAGTGAATGATGTACAGTGACGTTCAGTGCAATTCAGGGTGTATTTAATAAGGCTTGTTTACATAATCCAGTGAGTTTTGTGCATTTTGTAGTCTCTTACTTGATGCTTGATCTTGCCAACTTTCATTTTGGGCAGGCCTCTGATAGGTCTTGTATCAGCCGTGCATTTTTTTTCCTGCATGCACACTGTAGGTATTTTTTTCTCATGTAGGCTGTGCTTGTTCAACATGCTTAATTGGTTTTCTTAAAAACCATGAGTTGCTTGCTTTTATGTAACATTGTGTGCTTCATTAGTGGTAATTGTCCTTTTGTAAATCTGTCTGTGTGCATTTGACTTAGTACACTATTTCAGCCTATTTATGTAGGAAATAGGAAGTAATCCCAGAAAATAGGATAATTCTGTTATTAGTTAAGTGTTTTCTGTGATCATAGATGTGGGTGTTCTGAGTGATTTATATCACAGGTTCCTTTGACTGAAGATATTTGAAAGTTCATGTAACCAAATTCAAACAAAAATTCAGGGAAATATATTGAACTGGCATCCTGACTCAGTTCGAGATAGATTTTGTGCATCTTCACTAGGCTATCGGTGATCTGTCTGCCCTTATTTATGGCTGCAAACGTGACCTATAAATACATAGTGGCAGAAATGTCCTGTCTGGTCATAAATCCAGAATAAATTGTTTTAATCACTCTGGATATAAGCAAGGTCAAGCTAAAGAAAAGTATAAAGCCTCCCAGCTACTCAGGTGTTGTGCTCTTCCTTGAATTTTTTTTTTTTTACTTATCTTTGAACAAGTGATTATGAAAACAAGCCCTATAACCCAGCAAGTTAAACAATTTTCAGTTGCTGTACCTTTCTAGTATCACAAAAGATGCCGACATGTGCATGTCATGCTAACGATCTTCATAATTAATCCATATTTCTCTGTGCTTGCCTTTACTAGATCTGTAGTGCTGACAGATGTTTCTTAAGGTGCTTTTAGGAAAAGTGATTTTGGCAGACTTGCTTTTGGCTTTAATTATGTGCCTTTGAAAGCTACCATTTCCAGCCTCTAAGTAGCCAGCAATGTTATTTGACAGAGGGATTAGAACTTGAAATATGGGTGCTTTGTCTGAGAGGTTAATACAATGTGAATGGTACCTGTACTGAGATTTGGTTAGATGAGTGTTTCTCAATTTGATAACTTTAAGATGTGTGTGGATTTCAACTCCCAGAATTCCCTAGCCAGCTTGTTTGTTAAACATTAGACTAGATGAATCATGTATCTTTAAAGCTGTGGGTTGTGAGTGTTATTAAGAGGCAACTATAGTTGATGAACATCTTGTACTGCTGATAACTTTTTTGAACATTCATTCACTAGAAAATTTAAGTTGGTTGCCATAAAGTATATAAAGTTTGCTTTTGATGAGCTTCAGGGCTAAATTTAGGGTTCTTTTTGTTTGAATGAAGGTATCATAAGCAGCAGATATATTTGAATTTATTTACCTGAGAATAGTCTCCATGTTCTTGCCTAAATTGGTTTCCTCATTTTATGTGTCCAATTCTGGTACTTGTATCCCAACAGCCAACTTACTTCACACAACATTCATATGGAAATTATATTTTAATCTTTGCTTACAGACCAAGATTTCATCTGTAAGCAGAGATTAACTAAAGGTGCTCAGTTCAGATATCACAACAAACTCCAGCTTTAATAAAGCAAAATGTGAGCTTCAAAGCTGGATACAAGAGGAAATATGGACACATGGTTTGTTCTATTCTTCTAAATCACACTTTATTTATATAAGCTCATTGCATTAGAATCAGGCTGCAGAGTCTCCAGGGAATGGTGTCCATGCTGGCAGATCATATATGGAAATGTACTCTTCACTGGTTGACTGTCTAATTTGAATTAAGTAATGTTATTGTTGGGTGAATAATGTTCAATAAATTATTAATTTGATTTGTTTTCCATCAGGGACTGATCAGAGTAAAGACATCTTCTTCCCACTCAGTAGAGAGCCAGCTTTTGTAACTATTCCAGGAAAAAGTTTTGCAGATTCATTTTTATTGGGACCTGGAACTTGGATGTTTAAAATCATGGTAGAGGGTGTCCTTCTGGTAAGAAGATCTATCACAATAATATTTATATTTTTGGAAACTAATTCTTTTCTAGAGTACAAATAAAAGGGAAATGTCTATTCAGGAAATCAGATCTCACACTGGTGTATAGAATGAGTCAGTTACTCTGTTCAAGTGCTGCTACTAGAATTTGATTTATACCTGAGATTCATCCCTGTAATAGCAGTAGGAATCTGATGGATATGGTGAACACAGACCTGTGCTTTTGAACCACAATTGCACATAGGATTATTTTGGAATGTGTTTCAATATGGGTAGATTACATATAGATTGATATCTGTTATGTGATATGTGAATTGTATTGTTAATCCTGAATGGATTCTAGCCTGAACCTTGTTTGCAAATGTATATTATAGCCTTCTCTAAATTGAGTATTCTCAGATGTATGGACTTTTACTCCCAGTTCCCCAGCCAACATTTCTGTTGTTGAGAATTCTGGAAATTGAAGTTCACATCTCTGGAGAATACAGAGGCTGGAGAAAGCTGGTGTATTAGGTAATTTTGTTGAAACTTTCATATAATACATTATTGGCTATTAATATGCTTATGCTAGTATTGTTTTGTCACTTCAGGATTACCTAGTCCTCTTACCAAGTGACTACTATGAAGCATCCATCTTGCAATTTCCAGTCGTACAGCCTTGCACATATTCAGGATATATCCCAACAGATAAGTTAGTATCTCAGGGACATTAATGGATCTTCTATTATGGTTATCTAAAATTTATGTTGATGATCCAGTTAAACACTTTCCTTTTTTATTTTCAAGTTGTTTGCAGTATGAATACTTGCCAGTAGATAAATATCGCTGTGTTTTTGGTACAGAAGTAACATTTTTCTTGCATGGGGGAGAATACCGAAAAACAACTTTCCAACAGCCAACAGTCAAACATCCAGTGATGTCTCATATTAATGGCCAGGAGGTAAGATATCCTTATAGGACAAAATTGGTTACATAGTGCCTACAGTATCTCTTGACAGTCTGTGTAACGGAAAACACCACACAGGATATATATTGTGTAAAAATACTGTAAAGACCGTTCTTGCTTCCTCCACGGTGTCTGTGTATATGTGGTTAGAATGCAGTATTGCAGGCTAACTCTGCCCATTGTCAGGAGTTCAATTCTGACTGGCTGAAAGTTGACTCAGCCTTCCATCCTTCCGAGGTCGGTAAAAAGTGGACCCAGATTGTTGGGGCAATATGTTGACTCTGTAAACTGCTTAGAGAGGGCTGTAAAGCACTGTGAAGCCGTATATAAGTCAAAGTGCTATTGCTATTGCTATATAACCATCCCCCTCCAAATGGGGCACGACAAAATGTAGATCTGTATCTTTCTCCTCTGAATGCTTAAGGGAAGGTGAGCTATTGTTACCCCTCTTCGGTAAATCAGCCAGGGAAAACAATGAATTAAACTAATTTTACTTTATTGTAAGGCTACATCAACAGAATCGTGCAAGTCTAAAAGTATAAACTTCCTACCACCACTGATAACTGCTTGATCAATTAGGGTAGTCCTTCCTATGTTTCTTTTCTTGACTGTTAAGCCACTGGGGGCTCCTGTTTCTCTTGTCTGATTGTTTTCTAGGCAACATCTCTTCCCCTCATTTCCCAAGATAATCCACACATTTCATTACAATTGTATATACAATTCTGATAGCTTCCTTGTTAGCCTATAGATTTGTCACAGTATGTGCCAGATTGATACATTTTAGTTTTATGCATATTCTTTCTGGATTCACGTGCACATTGTAAATTTTGAGGGTAGCTTTCACAAAGCTATGGCCAACAAGGAGCTTATTTTATGACAGCCATTGTAGATGTGAATAATTTAGAAATACTTTTTATTAGAAGACAGACTGATGTGGTTGCTCTACCTCTATTTATTTGTGCTTCAGAATATCTCATCCACTGTGCTTCTCTTTTCCTGGGCAGGTTGGTGAACCAGTGGATGCAGCATCCACTATCTTTGTTTTTATGACTCATGTAAGCCCTAGAGGCCTTCTGAAATACTGCATAAAGATGACACTGGATGCTAGAATTTTGTTTTACAGCACAATACTAAAAATCTAATTAAAATAAAACAGGTAGGGTAGAGATATCTGCAAGGACATGGACACCATGTTGGAAGCTAAATGTATAGGGAAAGTATTAACCCTGGAGAAAGCAGGAGAAAATAATTATCATTTTCCTCGCAAAAAAACATTGACAGGTTTACTTCCCTATTAGCTGAGGTTAATCTGGAGGTTCAGGTAGTATTTGCTAAATTTAAAAAGTGTGAGAAAATACCTGGAACTGCCTGGAAACCCATCTGTTTGACCTGATATTTCTCTCCTTTATTTTAAAAAACTAGGTTGTTATTTAGTGTATGAAAGAAGAAGCCACCTCCATTACTCTGATAACATCCAAGCATGATTTGAATCTTCTTTAGGTGAATCTACAGATCAAACTGAAGGTTCCCCAAGTTGGCCGCTATGTAATCATCTTTGAGTATGTCACAGATCATGACCTAATTTATGTAGGTAAAATAAAGACTGAGAGTCTTGGGCAAGTGATGGAGGCTAAAATTAATATATACAGCTGCAAATATAGGTGAGAAAAATGTAATAAGTTCATGTTTTGGGCTTTCATCATCTAAATAAACCTGTGTTTTCTTCTTTCTTTCCTGGGATTCTTAGTTTCCAATGCATTCCTTTTCTTTATCTCCTTTATTTTTCCTGATAAAAATAGCGCTCTTAATAACATGTATGTTTCTCAGGCTCAATTCTTTGCCTCTGCTTAAAAAAAAAAAAGCTGTAGTTTCTTTCTCATGCAAATAGTTACATACCATTAATTAAGGGGTTTTTTCCCCTTGTATAATTGAAGTGTGGATAATATGTAAAAACTGAAGATTGTACTTGTTACACTGAAATGAATATAGGAATATTCAGATTCTACTTCTTGAGATTAATATTATTATATTTGCATCCTGCCTAAGGGGATGATTTCCAGATGAATGAAAGGTATTTTGATTGCTATTTCTATTGTTGAACTATAGCAATAACTCAAACATTTCTTTGTATGGTCGGTCACTCATGAAGATTGGGAAATGAAACCAGGAATGGAATTATGGGCAGTTGTATAAAAGCACAATTTGGTTTTTTAAAAATCCTATATTCCTGGATTAAATACATAACTTCAACATATCTTTTTTATTAGGTTTTGAATGCACATCTGCAGCACTTTTTGATACCATGGATTTAGTTACTAGAATCCTGTTGTATCCCACGCAGTCCTAAAATCTGTCCACCTGGTTGTGACTCTGTTCAAATCAATCTTNTTGGGTGATAGCTTTATAGAGGAGAAGTTCAAGGCAGAAAAAAAAGCAAAAAACTTCTTTGGAATTAGAGAATATTAGGACCTAGTTACTAACTGCTTTTAAAACCTATTCCAGCTTCCTTTGTCGCAGTGTTGTGATCGATGATATGGCTCGTATTGCAGTTTTTGACCTTTTGGCTGATACCACATTACATCTCAGGTCATCAGCTATAGATTTTCTACTGGTAAGTTTATATATTTTCCTAAACAGAATATCAAGAAAATGTGCCACTATTTTACATAGGAAATATAGGATGCTATCTTATTCCAGCTCAACCAATTATCCTTCTGCTCTATATATCGGAGTGAGCAGCTCCCTAGGGTCTCTGGCAAAATCCATTCTTATTGTTTGTTTAAGTGACATGCTCTGTCATTAAATTGTCATAATTAAGGTTGCTGCTAGATGCTAATGAATTCTTATCTATAAACCATCTAGATCACTTCAGAGTGTTTTGCATGCTTATCTTTTATTTTATTTTTATTTATTTTTTATTTTACAAAATAAATCTTGTTATGCAGCCAAAATCATCTGGCATGGGAATCATCTTGTTGGGACATTTCACAAGGAATTTTTAGATTCTCCAAAGTGTCAAGAGTTAAATTCTCAGCAATTTGGCGTTCATTTTTACGACTCAGGCTAGATTCCATATTTATCATTTGGGTCTGAAGCCCAAGACAATAAGATTTAAGGCAAGATCCTTGTCTAAAATCCTTTACCTGGATTAGAAAGCATCTGGTTGGCCACTGTTGGATACAGAATACTGAATTAGATAGCCTCTTATCTGGCAGGACTCTCAAGGTTGTTTTTTTTTTTAATTCATACATGGAAAAACCATGAAAGCTGCATGAAGGACCAAGTCACCTTCTGTTTGTTTGCTCATTACACTTTATGCTGTTCTAATTTAAAACATCTGAATCTAAGCAGTTAACAAAGCAGTATACTGTACAATAAACTATAAAGTACATATAATATTAATAAATCAAAATTGCAATAAAATCACAATAACAAGAATACGGCTAGTCCTCGACTTACGACCATAATTGAGCTCAAAATTTCCGTTGCTAAGTCAAGACATTTGTTAAGTGAGTTTTGCCCCATTTTATGACCTTTCTTGTCGCAGTTGTTAAGTGAATCGCTGCAGTTGACAAGTTAGTAACACAGTTGTTAAGTGAATCTGGCTTCCCCGTTGATTTTGCTCGTCAGACGGTCACAAAAGGCGATCACACGACCCAGGGATACAGCAACTGTCAAATGTATGAACCAGTTGCCAAGAATCTGAATTCTGATCACATGATCATGGGGCTGCTACAAAGGTCATAAGTGTGAAAAACTATCATAAGTCACTTTTTTCAGTTCCGCTGTAATTTGAACGGTCAATAAATGAACTATATAAGTTCGAGGACTACCTGTAAGTGTCCACATAGACCCTAGGTATATGAATCTTCCACATTTCAGCCCTCAAATGCTGGCTTATATAATCACATTTTCACTGATTTCTAAATATTGGCAATGAGGTTACTGTTCTTATTTCTAGGAGGGCTCTATTTCCACAGGAGGGAACTCCAATAGACAACATTTCTTTCTGAGTCCACTCTCTCAATACCTCTTGGGAAAGAGGACTCCTTGCAGTCTACTGGCATGCCTTAGGCAGGCAGATTCTAATTGGAATAAGTGGTTCTGTTAATATCCAGGCCACAAGTCATGTACAACTTTATAAGTTAATCCTTGGTACCTTGCTACCTTGAGTTCCTGTTGTTAGAACTACTGAATGTTAGTTAGAACTGTTGAGTTCTAAGTTTTAACTACTGAGTTAGAACTACTAAGTCATTCTAAATGTCCATGTTCACCAATGTCTGTAGAAAACTACAGTCCCACTTATGAAGCAATTCTTTTGAGATTTGTGGAACGTGGAGGCACAATTGAAGAAGATGTCAGTTGTGATAAGTTCTCACCTCATATAATGCTCATCATCACAATCACTGAGCCACAATTTTGTAACTATGCGTGAATGGAGGAGGGAGAAAAAGGCAGTGGTTTTATCTCTGCCCACTATTGGCTTTCTTGTAAGATACAAATGTTTCTATGTTTCAGGCAGAAACTTTGGATACATCTGCATTTAGATTTCAAAAAGCTGCTGCAGGTTCTTTGTTTTAATTCTCTTGAGATGTATATGAAAAGGCAGGATAGGTAGACAGTTAACTTCCCAAGCAAGTGATTAAATATAGAATTAACTTTTTACAAGTTCAGTTTTTAGACTTTGAACTCCTCATTTAGCCAGGAATCTAAGATGAGTTAAAATGTCTTGAACTGCTTTTTTTTAAAGAGGCTGCAGCAACCTCCAAGTATTCTCCCCACATCTCTCTACTCATAAAAGCTGTTTTCTCCATGTCTGCTTTGGTGTCTGTCTTATAGCTTTACCCAGTTGTCATGATTCTATCTAACTTTCTTCCTTTACTGCCTGCCCATCTCCTTTTATATCCTTCTGTCCATCAATGGTCCTGCTCCCAACCCCAAATCCAGCTTTTCTACACTTACAGCCCAAGACCCTTCCCTTTTCCTTCCATCTTTACTTCTTGTTAGCATTGCTACAGGGGACTGAATTCAAAAGAAGTGTAATGAGAAATGTAAATGTAAATATATATGGCTATGTGCGAATATTGTATTTTATCTGCCCAGGAGACAATATAGGTAGTCTTTGTTCAGCAACTAATTGCTTGGTGACTGAAGTTACAACAATACTGAATAAGGACTTACAATAAGGACTTGTCGTTGCAGCTGTTGTATTGTCTCTGCGGTCACATGATTGTAATTCAATTGCTTGGCAACTAGCTTACAATTATCCCATAGCAGTGTCTTACAGTCTTGTGATTAACATTTGGACCCTTTACTGCCAATTTCCAACATGTCAATGGGGAAACTGGCAGGAGTCATAAATGATTATCATGTGATATCACACCTAACAACCATGTGAGATTCACCTAACAATGGCCGATGGAACTGTTGGAATTGCCTTTGTAAGTCAATGCAGACACATAGAATAGCAAAGTTGGAAGGAACCTTGGATGTCTTCTAGTCCAACCCCCTGCTCGTATAAGAGACAAGTTGTCATACTTTTCAACTGCATCGCTTAGCAATGGGGTTGCTGGTCCTAGTCACGATCATTAACTGAGCACTTCCTGTATATAGGTATATGATTGTATATATTGAGTGCTTCCTGTATATAGGTATATGATTGTATATACGTGTTTTTATGAATGCAGAAGACAACTCAAAGGAATTAGTTTCAGAGCCTCACTTGACCATGTAATTTACTGAGTAGCTTTGGGCCAATTCTCTCTCTCAGCTTACCTAGAGGAAGCCCCCACATGAGCCACCTTGAGCACTCAGAAGAAAGTCAAGCTGTAAATGTATAAATAGTTTTTCTGGAACCATACAGTACACTAGATAAAACAATCACTTCTCTAGAGATTCCTCTCTTCAGGTTCAAATACGGTAGTTTTATTATAAAATCTTTACTGCCACCTTTTGGGTATATGAAGATTTAATCTTTCTGTGTCTTCCTTCTTTCCTTAACAAAAGCAAATGAGCTGTCTAAGACAATACAGTGAGTAAATGTTGGCCAAGTTAATCTCATGCACAGTACACTCACACATCCTTCTACAAAAAAAACCTGTAGGCCAGGGGTCTTCAAACTTGGCCCTTTTATGACTTGTGGACTTCAACTCCCAGAATTCCTCAGCCAGCATGCCTGGCTGAGGAATTCTGGGAGTTGAAGTTCACAAGTCATAAAAGGGCCAAGTTTGAAGACCCCTGCTTTACACCAACAAGTCCTGTATTCACAAGTCTCAACAAACTGTGTTAGCTTTTAGCTAGAAAGCTTTCTTATCTTTACTTTTTCTAGAAGCATAAATAGAAGTTTAAATAATATTCAGCCCCATTTTCACATGCTGCTGTTAACCCGTTAATGGGGAAAAAGTTAACAGGCACATTGTCTTTCTTTCCTAGCACAAAATTTGCATTATTCCAACTGAGGATTTTTCTCTGGACTATGTGGAACCTCAAGTTTATTGCATTGCAACATATAGCCATGGTTTAAGGTAAAATACTTCCTTCCCTTTTGCTTTCCTCAGAAGTGAACTTTAAGACTTAATAATGTTAATATTCTCAGTTTGCTCAGCAGTTTGCAACTAGTTACAATGCCCATCGTGCAACACAGCTGTCACTCCATTACTCTTAACATAAGAAACATTGATTGAAGTAGTCAGACTTATTTAATCTTAAGACTTTCCAATACTGCTGATATTTCTGTTTAATAGGTAAATTATGCCATTTTGTCTATCAAAGGATTCATATTCAAAAATAATTTTGCTATTTAAGACACCATATGGTAAAAACCTTTTGGTTGTGTCCTAAATGCTGACTGTACAGCTGAACTTGAGTTAATCCAATTCTCCTGATTCACACACCACACTGAACTTGCAACTATGTGGCAAGGATTAGCACAACATGCTAGGGTAAATGTTACACTGGTTTGCAGTTTGGTTGTTGTGGGAACAGAGTTATTGACTTCACAGTCTATATTTTGAGGCATATTTTATTCTGTTCAGTGAGCATTTTTAAAGCATGCCATATTTGACATTTATTTGGCATTTTTTCTGTCTTTAAAGTGCCTCCTGTATACCATTGCAATATGAAAAGCCTCTTGAAGCTGTAGTTTTGGATGCTCGGAGGAACAGCGAAGTTGTAGAAGGGTCAAGACATGTGGTCTTCGGGGATTCATTGAGTTCTCCTTTATCCTCTTTTCACTCAGCTAATGGTGTGACTCTGTCTTCCTCACAGGTAATTTACCTTTTGCATTAAAGGTAGAAAAAGTCCAATAGGGACTTTCAGCCTATTGGTTTGTAAATATTAATCTTACTTGCTATGAAATTGAAGGCCTATAGCTGAAGTTAAGGGTACTTCCCTTAACTGATTTGCAAGAAGCTGACATCTAGTAAAGAGTTCCTTCTTGATGTAGTAGCTCAGATGACTCTTGAAGCTCATATTCCATTTGGCTCTTTTTATAGATATTATGATTTGTGTATATGATCAAATTTAGCCATTTTGTCACCTGACTTTGGAGATGAATACCTCGTGACTTTCTGTTTATATCATTAGAAAGTCAGTATTTATTTATTTATGTGTTTATTTATTTGTTTGTTTGTTTATTTATTAACTTTATTTGCTGCCCATCTAATTTTGAAGCGAGTCTGGGCAGCTTACAGCATTAAAATTGATAAAAATGGAGTTACAAAGATAAAAAATACAGTTGAAAGATGGGAAGATAAGGAGTAGGATGTGCGGGGTAGATCTGGGATTTTCTCTTCAGCCACCTCCAATGTGATGCTCCCCTGTTGGAGCCCCAAACCATCCAGCAGAGCTAAGTCTGCAGGGCCTTATGGAAGGTCAGACGGGTAAGAGCCAATCTCGTCTCAGGGTAGGATGTTCCAAAGGGTAGGAGCCACAGCAGAGAAGGCCTTCTCTTGGATCCCACCAGCTGAAAATACTTGACTGATGGGGCCTGGATGGGGCAGGTCAGTCCTATCAGGATGAGATGGTTCCTCAAGTATCCTGGACCTATGCCATGCAGAGCTTTAAAGGTAATAACCAACACCTTGAATTGGACTTGGAAGCAAACCAGCAATCAGTGCAGTTCGCAGAGCAGTGAGGTAACATGGGCCACCCTAGGGACCCCAAGAACTGCTCAGGCCACCATTCTGTTCTAATTGAAGCTTCTGGATGCCCTTCAAAAGTAGCCCATGTACAGTGCATTGCAGTAGTCCAAACGTGAGATGACCAAGGTTTGAATGACTGAGTGTAGGGACTCCCAATCCAGGAAAGGCCACAACTAGTGCACAACACAAAGTTGTGTTGTGACAGTCACCTACTCTGTGAGCAGGAATCGCATCTCCAGGAGACCCCTAAGTTGCAGATAGGGTCTATTTGGGGTAGTGCAACCCCATCCAGAATTAAGGTAGTTAAAGTCCTGAATCTTGAAGCTACGTGCATCCAAAGCCATTCAGACCTGCTAGGCTTCAGCCGAAGTCTGTTGTCCCCCCCACAGGCCCACCACAGTTTCTATGCATCAAAAGAGGGCAGCAACAGTATTACTTGGATCACTGTGGTGGAGATGATACCTCAGCCTCTGATGGTGAATGATGTCAGTCACCAGCTTCATGTAGATGTTAAACAGGAGTGGAGAGAGTACTGAGTCATGCGACACATCACAAAAAATCGGCCATAGGCTGGACCTCTCACTTCTTATCAGTGCTGAATGAGCCATAAGAAGAGCAGGAGAAAAGGGCACCAAGCTGAAATTTCAGGAGGTGGAAAAAAGGACTATAATCTTCTGCCATGAGACGATTGACTATTTAATATAGTTTATAATAAAATTTTACTATGAGCCACATTATATCAAATTTCTGGAAAAGTTTCAACCATGTTTACTAAAGGAAGAAGTTTGACAGAGGACAAAGAATGGAACTTTACCAGCAATCTGAGAATGCTCTATATTGGTAATTGATAGGTTGCTTTTATTTACAATGTGAGCTTCTATAGTCTGATAGAGAATTGTAAAAAGAAGAGTAGCAAATTGTTATTATGATTTTTCCTTCACAAGGTGCAACTATTTGAAGTCATTTACGGTTTCTAAAAATAGCAGAAGTACCATACAGTTGAAATATTACACTTGATAAGCAGGTTATTTTATTTCTGTTCCATTTAAGTTTTAAGTAATTTCCTGGGAAAGAGAGGGTTCAAACAAAAGTGGGTCAAAAAGTTTTTTTATTAAAGTCTAAAGTTAAATGTCTTCCACTTCATTTTAGTATTAAATCAAGGAAACATTAGTGTGCAAACATAATGTTCAGTGTTCACTTTATGACCAATATATTAATTTCCACATATTTATGTTGATAGAACCAAATTACCCTGAATGGGAGAGTCCCACATATAGGCCAACATGTGATCATTATACATTTTTATCAGCCAGAAAATCCAACATTTCCAGTGCAAGTATCAGTGGATGGAGGACAACTTTGGTCAGGTAACTCAGATTTAACAATGTTTTAGATTTTTTCAGGACACTTGAGTTTTCATCGATTAGATGTGTCCTCATCCCAATTCTTCTAACTGTTCTAGGTTCTTACAATGCTTCGTTTTGTCCACATATTTCTGGATGTCGAAGTCTGGTAATGTCAGAAAATCATATTGAATTTGATATCCTTAAACATGACTTCTCAATCACCATGAAAATTCCTAATGGAAGAACAATGGTATTGGTAAGTTTAAAATATGCGTAATTTTGAACTGAGATAGAGACTATCCAATTACAGTTAGCTAAAGCTTTGACCAAAATATCTTGCAAATGTGTAAAACTGCAATTAAGAGTTTCTAACCTTGATGTCAATAGCTGTGATAACTGCAAATCTAGGGACTTGTAATTCTATATTTCTGGAGGGTTCTGAGTTAGAGAAAATTGATTTGAGCTATTGCACTATGTTGCAAGATTGCTCAGAACTGTATTTTATTTGACCCATGTATATACTACTAAAACTTTCATGTCTGTTTGATTGTTTGTAACCTTTAATTGGACAATTTTAGAAAGTAAAGGGCAAGAATTATTAAACCAAAGTAACTGAAATGGGTTAACTTACAGAATACTGTGACCCATGACTCCTATGGGAATGAAATTTGGGAAAGTTGCTGCCACTTCAACATCACAACATGGCTGCTGTGGTCACTGTAGGATCCTCATTTTCAACATTCCCTGAAAGTTTCCCATAAATCAATGGGGAAGCCAGAAGGAACTAATGTGATTGCTGACACTTCTTGCCACCTTCCCACTAGCAAAGTCTTTGCTTGTGGAAAGCTTGCAAAAAGAAAGTCAAGGGAGAACATGGTTGCAAGTTGTCTCCACTACCTGGCAGCAATCATTTACCTGCCTGCTGAGAAAGGAAGGAAGGAAGGAAGGAAGGAAGGAAGGAAGGAAGGAAGGAAGGAAGGAAGGAAGGAAGGTTTCTGAAATTCTGTACCAGCTTCCCACAAGTCAGTGGAGAAGCCTGCAGGAAATTGGAAGTTGCTTTTTCTCCCACACAATTTCATTTCCCTTTCAAGATTTGCCCTGGGGAAGAGGTTTCCTAACAATTGGGGGAAGAAGGGGTACCAGGGAGCTGTAAGAATGAGAGAGACTAAGGCAAGCCCCATTTAGGAATGGACATTCTCTCCATTCATAATTATACAAATGTTTAATATAATTATATATTAAAGTTGCTTTAAATAAATATTAAATAAGTATTTTAAGTTTTTTTAATCTTTTTAGAATTTAGGTGCAATGCAAGCACTTTTCACATGTGTGCATACCCTTCAAATGCATGGAGACAATCTGGAAACTGTGCTTCAATACTTTAGCTTTCTAAAATATGCAATTTAATTTTATCATTTTAAAGGAGCATATCCTGGTTGTTCCAGCACATAGCTACAGCTATTCACTTCTTCATAAAGACAGTGTGATTCGTTCAACAGATTTCATCAGCCAGTGTGGTGGAAACAGTTTTTACATTGTGTAAGTCACAGAATATAAATAAAAAGAAAGATGGATTATGAATTATGCTAAAAGCATACTAAATAAACACATATTATATAAATGTAAACGAAAGTGAGCATAGCCTTTTTAATAGCGGAACTCAGATGTGCTCTCCTTCTATCCCTCTGATAAACAGCCCTGGCAATTCTTCAGAATTTTGTCAAAATTCAGCTCGATCACTTGTGGCTGCTTTTAATGATGGGGCACTGCCATGCAATTGTCACAGAAAGGGTGCCACCAGCCCTACTTGCAACCCCGAGGGGGGGCAATGTAACTGCAGACCACACATCATCGGTCGCCAGTGTAGCAGGTGTCAGACAGGTTTCTATGGATTTCCATTCTGCAAACGTAAGTAGCCATTCCAAATGGGAGAGGTTATCCACTTTTTGGAATGTTGCCAAAAAAACTGGATATTTTATTTTATTGTTGTTGATTTCATTCTGAATTTAAGGATTTTGCTCAGAGGTATTCATTAAAAACTTCCTGCTTTGTTTGGATGTAAAGAATGGATGAGGAAAACATTCATTCATACCTCAGCTTCTTAAACTGAGATATGATCATCCAGGTACTATCAAGTACTTGAGATTCATCTCTAATCTACGGTATTATTTCTTGCTCAGTTATGTTAAGCAGCTTTTTATGTGTTATTTACATAACATTGGAGGGGAAGCCATGCATTTGATAAAAATGACTACTATTTGTTGAGCATACCTATATTGGATCACGTTTTCATTTTTTAAAAATGAATTTTGGAATGAGATAAAATAAGTTCTAGTGGATTTTTGTTCCAACAAGACCAATGTATGTAATTCAAATATTCTTTGAATATGAAATAATTTGTATTCTTGTTCCCAGCTTGCAGCTGTGGAAGGCGTCTTTGTGATGATGTCACTGGGAAATGTCTTTGTCCCCCACAAACTGTTAAGCCTAGATGTGAAGTGTGTGTGAGGTTGCACTTTGGATACCATCCATTTATTGGCTGTGAAAAATGCAATTGCTCAAGCAAAGGAGTTATCAGTGCTATGAATCCTGAATGTAATAAAATTGATGGGCAGTGCAGGTAACTAAGTTTTTCTATGATGGAATGAATCTTGTTTTTGTTTTTGTTTTTGCACAGGAAGATGCTATAGTTAAAATATTGGACTTGGGAGTTCACTACTCTGGGTCAATCCCTTATTCTCAGTCCCATCTCCTTCACATGATTTTTGAGAGTGGCTTACCAAGGATTTTACTCCAAGTTAATTCTTGAGATGTTCTGTATGAAACATGGGCTCTGCTGCTTTTAAGGACAATGGCTAATGATTGGCCAGGCAGCCCAATAGTAAAGCTAGTGAGCCAGGTTTGCTTTCTTCTATTGTGAAAAGCAGCAGAAGTATTTTACTTCCCAGGGTAATACCATGCAATGAAAGGGGTAACATTGGAACAGCAAACAATGTTTATAGGCCATTTTGTTAGGACATGATTACTAACTGATTCTCTGTTTCAGCTATGCAGCTGTATCTGTCTATAGATACATTCACTCTAGCTCAATGTTTCTCAAACTTGGCAACTTCAACATGTCTGGACTTCAAAGCCTTGAATCCCCACCATGCTGGCTGGGGAATTCTGGGAGTTGAAGTCCAGATATCTTAAAGTAGCCAAGAGTGAGAAACACTGCATTAGCTATATTCTTCTACTAACAAAATACCTATGTCTTAGCATATAATCCTGCTATAAAAAGAATTGGATTGCTCTTATCCTAAAGCTGAGAGTGACCTTTTAATAATCTTTTATTTTGTACTAATTAGTAATTATTTATAATTACAGGAAAACTTTATCTGACAAGGTTTTGTTTTAAACGGAAGGACATTGTTTATTAAGCAACAGATTGCTTATTTCAGTACTCTGGGTACCAAGTGGAGCTAAAAAGGGGCAATTCTTCCATGTAGTTATGCAAATTACTATAGAACATAAATGTGATTGGATACAGTAGCAATGTATTTGATTGGATATAGCAGAGTATTAGATATGTAGTTAGTTAGGGCCAAGCTATGAGATGGGAGCAGAACATAATGAGTAATTTGTGAACATTCTTTTTTGAATGTTTATCTATGGCAGGGGTCTTGCTTGGCTGAGAAATTCTGGGAGTTGAAGTCCACAAGTCATAAAAGGGCCAAGTTTGAAGACCCCTGATCTATGGGGTTTATCTTAAACTATCCTTGGTTTCCAGAGCCCTTCTAGTATTTTTTCCTATCCCATCAACATTCTTGATCTTTCTGAATGTTTTATGGCTAAGCTGATAATTGATTTTTCTCTGACAAAATGTATTTGGAAAGGGAGTGGTGTACTTGTATATTCCAATGTCATTTTCCCGGCTACATGATGATGTAATACCTAAATCAATGTTAAGTTAATTCCACAATCTTTATGTTCCCAGGTTATAATATTTTATTTTTGTTGCATCAAACCTTACCATCCAGTGTACCTTTCTGCTTCTCACTTTCAAATGATTTAGAATGATTCCATTTAAGTCTTTTGATACAATACAAAAATGATAAACCAGAGATCTCTAGCATCATATCTGTTTTTAGTTTGGGGCATAGAAAATAAAAGGAAATTTGCTAGCCACTGGAAAAGAAATGCAAAATGTCATGCTTAGCAAGACAATGTCTTTAAGGAATGGAGATCCACTCAACATCTAGGGCAGGTTTATTTTTTACAGCCATAAATCTAATCCTGCATCTACTACTCTAATACTCTAATAAAATCTGTGCTATGTACCAATCACATCTCCTGGGGGAAAAAAAACACATGTTTTTCAGAAGTGAATTTTGGCCTTTGTTTTGATGTTCAAGATGTCGCTCAGGAATAGCAGGGCGGCGGTGTGACCGTTGTGCTCCTGGTTCTTATGGCTTTCCCGACTGCAAACCTTGTAAATGTAACAGAGGAGGAACAGAACCAGACATCTGCAACCTACAAACAGGAGTTTGCCTCTGTAAGGTCAGATGTTTTGACATTTCAAAGTTTGTGTGATTATTTTATGTGCTCCTTCTTATTCAATTGTAAACAATTCTCATTCTCATAATTATTTTTAAAAATAATATACCTAGACATTTGTCTCTAGAAGTTTTAGTGCAGTACATTGTATAGATCTATAATTAGGTGACACACATGAGAATATGGTTGATTTTTGAGTACAGATTGCATCTCAGTTCTTCAACCGCATTTAATAGGAATGTGGAAGAACTATTAAGAAAAGGTTGAATGGGTTTGTTTATAGATCTCTGTTATTGTAAACAAAATATTGCTAGGAAGTCCCCTAGAGTTATTGACCAGATCATATACCTCTGTTTTTCCAGCAATGTATGTGCTTGCCTAACCTATTTTGTGAATTGAATAAAGGAAAATATGTTGCATTGTTCAATCTAGATATGAATGGGGGCTCATTGAGTGTGGAATTAGGTTTTTGGGAACTGGCCAATTAATATTATTTAGCTGTGATCTCACATTTTAATAACATTTCTGGAATATATGAATTGTTCATTTGATGCCCTAACTATTGTCAAAATGTGATAATATTTCCAGAAAAACTTTCCAAGAGTTACAATGAATAGTGCTTAATTGGTAGTTAGTAATAGGATTGATGATTGGGTATCAGTGAGCACCATATTTATTTCTCCTTATCAGCATACCCTGTCCACTTGTTTTAAATCAAAAAGGCTCTTGATCAGAGGTGTCAAACTCAATTTCATTGAGGGCCGCATCAGCATTGCGGTTGCCCTCGGGGGGCGGGGGTGTATAGCCAGGGTGAGTGCGGCCTACTGGGTGGGCATGGATGGAGTGGGTGTGGCCTACTGGGTGGGCGTGGCCAGCTCTACATCGTTCGCGTCAAGGGTGCCTGGGGGGCCTGGGCAGGAGTGGGACAGATCTGAGGGTCTCTGGCAGAAGGGGGTGAGACCAGGGCAAGTGCCAAGACATGGTCCACTGGAGGAGTCTCACTGTTCCTCTCAGGCCATGCGGGGGGCTGGATGGTGGTGCGGGCTGCCCGGAGCCCTGGGCAGCAGAGATCAAAGGCCCAGCCTGGCCCTCGAGCATCTGCGGCACCAAGCCATTTCCAGATGGCCTTGTGGAGCTAAGACTGAATATGTTTCAGCATAGATGGCCACCACAAAATTGTACATTGGCTCCTGGCTGGCCTGGGCCAGGGCCAAGGCAGCGGGGGCCGTTCCCTCATTGTTTCCAGGATGGCTTCGCGGGACACATGAAACCACTTCGCGGGCCGCATTTGGCCCACAGGCCTTGTGTTTGACATGTCTGCTCTTGATGGATACAGCATCAATTTTCTTCCTCTACTGATCAAATTCTTCAACTGTGTATAATACCAGTGCAAGACAATTTATTTTCCATTCAGATTCCTGTAACTGTTGCAATACGATCAGAATCAAAGCAAAATGCTGAAGTGCACATGCTGCAGTATTATTAATGCTCTGTGCTGTGCTTATTGAACATGTGATGTGGGCAGGCTTCTTCACAACAGTCTTTATAGTCTATATTTTTTTTACTAAGAATGCAGGAAGGCTTTGGACTTTTTAAATTTTCTCATTAATTGAATGATCAGTCCTTTTTGAACTAAAGAGAAGAGAAGAATGTAATTACCAACCTTCATAATTTTTCAGAGTTCTCAGTTCAAAAAGCATTTGGGAATGTACTTATAAATATGTCTCAGGAGAAATATATTAGAAGGACTTATTTACATGCAAATATGTGGGTTTTAAAAAAATAATAATAACGGTAGGATAATATGGAAACAGAAAAGAATAGATGCATTTATTAGTGCAGATCAGAAACAGATTTTTTGTTTCTTATGATTTGATCAAGAACATTAGGTGCATTTGGCGTGAATCATTTAAATCACACAGCAATAAAATTTGTGTCAACAGACTTCAAAGATGCCTGCCTGGAAGGCCCCTTATTTAAACCGATAACTGCATAATGGTGGTGGCAATGGCTGTTACGTACTGAACAAACATTTTCCTTACGAAAGAAATAATTTTAGTAACATCTATACTATTGAGTATTGAAAGACCATGGACTGTCTTGAACATTTACAGCTATTTTTCTCTATATATATTACTGCAAAGTTTTAAGTGGAAACATTTAATGACTTATTCCAAATGACTTATAGGAGAATGTTGAAGGGGTGCAATGTGACATGTGCCGTTCAGGATCGTTTTATCTGGACCCTGCTAATCCCAAAGGTTGTACTACTTGCTTTTGTTTTGGAGCAACTGATATTTGCCACAGTACAAATAAACGTAGAGTCAAGGTACGCAATGCTACATATTTTTTTTCCCTTTGGAGGAGACTACTGGATCAGATAGATGAATATCTGTGATTGGAGTTTTGCTTTGTATGTTAAAAGCAGTGATGTGATTGAGATTGAAATGAGCAGCAGACCTCTGACTGTAGGGTGGCCAGGGGATTGAACTGGCTGTACACAAATCAGTGGTGGCTTTCCAGGTCCCATATCTGTTCATGCTAAGAGCATTACTTTTAATCTTTAAAAAAAAAGCATGACAGAAAGACTTTTAGTGGTCATTAATACTATTCTGTTTTCTCTCTTTGTTCTGAGGACTTTAAGATGCATTTTTCCTTTTTATTTATTTATTTATTTATTTATTGGATTTATACCCCGCCCTTCTCCTTGCGGACTCAGGGTGGCTGACAGCCTGATAAAAACAACTACAGAAATACCCCAAAAACTATCATTAAAACCGAGTTAAAATAAAATATTAAATATTTGGCCTTATTAATTATTAAAATTGCTTTTAAAACCCCTCTAAAAATTTCCCCTTAGGCCAGTCCTGCTTGTTGGAAGAGCCATGTCTTAAGGGCGCGGCGGAAGGAGGGGAGATCCGGGATCACCCGGATCTCTGGGGGTAGTTCGTTCCAGAGGGTGGGAGCTCCCACCGAGAAGGCCCTCCCCCTGGGAGTCGCCAGCCGGCACTGTCTGACTGACGGCACCCTGAGGAGACCCACTCTGTGGGAGCGTACCGGCCGGTGGGAGGTAATCTGCGGCAGAAGGCGGTCTCGGAGATATCCAGGTCCGATGCCATGGAGCGCTATTTTCCTGTGTCTTTATGTCATTGCTGTTCCTTATACTGTAAAGTCATTTCCATCCTGCTGAGTTTAAAGCTATTGTTTTTTCTTTAACTTTCAGCAGGTTTTTGCAAAAACAGGTTGCCTTGTTTGTTTGCCGTGAGCAGAAGTGTTAACATCTGTCACAGCTGCAATGCCCAATGTCTTGTCCCAGAGACCAATGTCTCTCTGGAAATTTTCCTGCTTCTCCAGAAAAGCACCTCACTTGTGAAGCAGGGCAGTTGGCTTTCCAGCATTTACTCCATGTTGCTGGTTAACCCGCAGAAGGAGTTAGTGAAATGTGTTATGTGACTGATTAGTATGCTCTGTGCCACTGCCTTATGATACTGCTTGTGTATTGATGAGTGGACAATTTTGTTACTGTGATGTTGGAAGCAGATCCCCATAGGTAATTTTTACACAGCCAATATTTTGTAATGGCAAGAAAATCATACAGATTTTGTTGGTGGCAGGAACCAGAAAACCTTCTCATACGAGCCAGAGAAGAAAAGGTTTCTACCAGATACCACTCCATCTTGCAAATTAACTTTTGTGTTGTGCAAAAACCTTACTTTAAAACAAAACTTTGTATCTCTCCTCTGTTTTATTATTAGTCCACCGACATGAGAAACTGGCATCTGGAAGCAGTGGGTAATGCCATGAGTATTCCTACAACTTTCAATCCTATTAGCAACAGTGTTGTTGCTGATGTTCAGGAATTACCCCCCTTTCTACACAATTTATATTGGGTGGCACCATCATCTTACTTGGGGAATAAGGTATATGATCCTTTCTGTAATATGTTAAAATTCTCCCATTATCAGCTCCAAACACTATTTTCTCTTATCTTTTTTATTCTATTTATAATAGCCAAATACAGGTGGGGCTCCCAGGTAGCAGACTATAAAGCATAGTTTATGAATTATAGTAGCTGGATTCATACAACATGCTAAGCCAAAACCAAACAAGTCATAGTATCACTTAGAACAAAGTAAATTCAGGCAAAGTAAGTTTCTAGCAAGTGACAATCTGATACATCAATAAAAAGCCTTTTAATGACAAAGGTTTTTTTTATTTTCTTGACTTCTCTGTACCAATATTGGAAATGCAGTTGAAGATATTGTGAAGACTAAATATCAGAATTATCTTACAGTATAAAATCCAATTTCTATATTTCCTGTAATTTGTTATTTAGCTTTCTTCATATGGAGGATATTTAAGCTATCAGCTGAAATCCTTTGGCTTACCTAGTGAAGGCATGGCTCTCCTGAAAAAAAGACCAGATGTACAGCTAATTGTAAGTCAAATAATATATATAAACATGAATGCATCATCTTAGCTTTAAAAATGTTTATCCTTTACCAGCACATTTTCTGTACTTATGTGGTGCTTACTGCACAACCACAATGTGAAAGTATGAAAGTTTGAGAGGTCTTTATTTAAATATGTCATTTTGATGACTCTTGTTCTTTAAGTTCTGTTAATTGTCATGAAAATGCGTTACTAACCATTTTTAGAGGACATGGATTCATGATATGTGCTTGTCTCATCAACCCACTATAGTAGCAGTCTAACTGTGTTCTTTATCCTAATTTTTATGGTTTCTTTGACCACAGGTCTTGGCATATTTATAATTTCTGATGCCCCATTAATGATCTTGATTATGATAGCCCGGTGGTTAGGGCTAGTATCTGATAAGCTCCTACAGTCTAGTTAATGCTGTTCATGCTTCCTTCTTTACATTGGCACTGCTCTCCATGGGCTTTTTAGTAGGGCTGTAATAGAAACTGGACATGGAGTTTCTGTGGAGGCACAAGTAAGCCTAGTGCTGTTAACCAAGTGCTGTGAACACATTATCCAGGTTATTTAAATGCATTGATCAATTGGTTATGTGCCACCATGACAATCTGTCCTTAGACTGATGAAAGACTCTCCTGGTCTTTCAAGTCTTCCATCAGTGCACCCACCACTACTGTAACTGATACTATCTAAGTTGTCTCTTCTCTTTCCTTTTCCGTTTCCCACCATTACAAACTTTCCCCAAAATAATACACATTGGAATGGTGGTTTTCTTGAAGACCACTAGACTTGTTTTTAAAGACATGTTCCGTAGTCTTTCAAAAGACAGTAGACTCTGTAGAAAGACTACAGTAGACTGCCTGTTGATTTTAACTGATAGAGCTTAGTTGCTGGTTCTGTCAAAATTAGTGGGTTATAGGCTTTCTATTGCTTTGGCTGACGAGTAATTTAGGCCACACTTTCTATTTTTTTTATTACTTTGGTATGATGCCATTTTGCCCACTGTACCTTAATAACATTTTACATACTGCATAGATATCTCCTGTTAGTGTTGACTATGACCACTTGCTGCTGGCATTCTTTCTTTTGCAGTACTTTGAAATATTTATAAGCTGAGATGGTGTTGACCAGAATTCTGCCAGTTTTCCCCTTTAACCCAAACGGCAGACAAGTAAACCTCTTTCAAATAAACTAGAAATAGTAGAGTAACATATCAAGGAGGTGCAGGATTGGCACAAATGAAGGGGAAGGAAATGCTCTCAGAGCACCATATGAATTCCCCCCACCTCTTTAGTCAGTTTTCCTTGTCTGTCCTATCAATCTGTCATCTAAGCTACTGTCTTCCAGTAAGCTGGCAGACCCGTGTTCATAAATAGCATGAACGAGAAGTTACCAATGCAGATCACCCCCAGGCTGAAGAGGGACATATATGGTCAATAAAGAAATGAATATGTGAACTAAGAGTTTCCTCTAATTTTGAGTTTCCCCAGCCTGGTAGCTTCCAGATGCATTGATTGTTATAATTTCTGTTATAATTTCTAGCCAGTATGCCATAAACTATCCAGGTTCATCTCTGTCTAAACAAAGTCTTCACATTATTTATACTACTATAGATCTGGCTATCAAACTGATGTAATACTAAATTACTATGCTATGCTTATTCCCTTATTCTTGTTTGTTGAGATTTATTAATACTGAAAGTATTTCTAAAGTTAATACAATGCTAAGAGTAAAAAACATTTCTGATACCACAAAGGTTAATACATTGTTAGTTACATGCATTTCCATTGGCATGTAGCCATAATCATGCAGAAAGCATTATCCTAAATTGCAGATATTTAGGTACATGATTTGCTGGGAGAAAGAGAATTGTCAGTAATGATGTCAATGCGTGATGAAATTCAAAAGTGATAATTATTTACCTCATATACAAGTAATTATATTGTTTCAATATTTTGTTTCATGTGGCTATCACTGTTGGCCTAGTATTTAAAAAGCTCACATTTTGAATCACATGATAAATCCATTTGGCAAGAAGATGGTGGGATATAAATTTTGAGCTAGTAACTTTAATGATGCTAACTCTGTGGGAAGCATGCTAATTTGGTACATAGGTACAATATTGTACTGACATTCGATTTGAACTATTTTTGTACAGGGAAGGGAGATGAAAATATCCTATATAGATCCTAATAATCCTTTGCCAGACAAAATGTATTATGGATCAGTTCAATTAGTTGAGGTAAGAATGATGTTAACTCACTTTTGATAAGCTATGTCATCAAATATTTGCCTATTTTGATCTACAACAGAAAAAGCAAATGTACATGTTCCTGCTCTAAGGATAATTTCCAAGACTACATTTCTGAATATTCCATTGTCTACTGGGAGAAAAAGCTTATAAGCATGCATTAATTGTGCAATAAATATTTCTTTGACATGGTACATAATGAATCTTTATAGTGAGCTTATTATTCAGTAAATAATTGAGAATATTTTCTCAGTGGGAAAAATCCAGCGGTGTGGACCCCAAGATTAGTTTTCATGTGCTACAGAAAAAGATAGCAAGTTTATACTTGGAAGGGAGAACAACATTTTTAATCAGCATTTGGCCACAGGGATAGCGTCCCTGGGTGCAGTGGGTCTTTGGGACTCTGGTGGAGGATTACTAGCTGTGTTGCATACTGGCTCAAGTCTCTTTCCTTCCACTTGCTTTGCTTCTATGTTGTAATTAATCAAAGATTTTAGAGACACTATATGTCTCCAGTGCTTTATCTATTTACGAAAATATGCCTGTTGTGCTACCACAGAACTTCTCATGCCAGAAGACTTTCGGGGGAATATTGCCAGGAGCTAGATTGTAAAGATAGTTTGCTTGGTTACTTATGTGGATACATTTCTTCCTTCAAAACAGAAGAGCAGCATCAGATTATTCTGGCATCCAATAATTTTGTAATATGGTACAATAATGTGTTGCCTTGCAGTTAAGCAACTACTTGCATTGGTTACCTGAATAGTTAAGTGGAGTTCTTGGCTGATTCATGTTTAGACTTGAAAAATAAAGATATTTGGCATCATACTCTACCTTCAATTACAGATGTACTTGAAGATTGAGGCCATTCCAAACTGACATTTTGATGTATGAGACTGAGTTAAACATTAGAACTGAAGATAGGAATTTGAATCTTGCTCCAAAGCACCCTAGAAATGGTCTAACAAATGCCTTTTATTGTAGTATAAGTAAGGAATGAATAGCATTTAATGCAGTTTGCTATTCAAAATGAATAAGAATGGAACCTGTGGACAATATATGCATAGCATCATGCTATATAATATTTTAATATGTTGGAAATGGAAGATTATATACAGTTTTATTTTCCAACAATTCTTCCCTTCATATACCCAACGTATTTGATTCTCTCTGACTGATAGGATAGAGAGTACCTAATAAGATGTCAAAAATGTTTCTGTTAAAGAACATTGTCTTCCAGGGCAGAAGCTTGATAGGTTAATTAGAGAAGAATTTTTTTGAGAATTTAGTGATGGGTGAATGTGTGAATGGATTATTATCTTAGAGTGGGAGGGGTTTATGTCTTTTCATCTTTTGGAGGATATATTGGTGCAGGAGAGATATGAGTACATGAGACAATTGTGGAAGGTGCTTAGGAAGGTGGAGATTATGGTATGACGGAAATAGCAGTTTGTGTACCATTCTTAGGCCAGTTTACCAGTCAAGGCAAGGAAGACTCCCAACAATTTTCCTTCTGCCTCTTTTCTCCTACTTACATACTGTATTTCCTGGGAGATTTGATCTAGGGCAAAAACTGTACTGGGCAAATTGTATAATGTCATCAGGACTAGGTTCTTCCCACCAGCTTTCCAAGTTTATGAGCAGAGACTTGAAGGGTTTTGGAGAGGGCAGTTACAATTGGCAATCATGGGCCTGCCCTAAGTCCTCAGGATAGAAGAGTAGCAAGGAATACCTATTTCCAATTGTAAATGATTTATCAACTATACCTCTTTTTGGAAAAGACCAGCTTGGCCACTACATCTCACATGCTGGTTCCCGCATGAATAGATTGTTATAATACAGGGAACCAATCTTCAATCATTTATATCCCAGTGGGAGGAAGTGGATTCCCCTCCCCTTGTTTTCTGAAGTAAAATCAAGATGTTTTTGTTGACATATATATCGCCAATTGGTTTGCATAAACCAGGGGTCTTCAAACTTGGCCCTTTTATGACTTGTGGACTTCAACTTCCAGAATTCCTTAGCCAGGAATGCGGGCTGAGGAATTCTAGGAGTTGAAGTCTACAAGTCATAAAAGGGCCATGTTTGAAGACCCCTGGCATAAACGAAAGAGCTGTTGCTGCTTGACAACAGAACATTTTCAATATATATATATACTGTGTATATTTTGCTCCCAATTTTCTGTTATTATTTGTTGATTGTACATACTGATTCTACCTTCCATATCATTCCTTTAATTATCTCTTGCCTGATTTTAGTTCTTTGTTGATACAATTATTTGCTAGCAACTTTTCCCCTAGACTCCCAGCATCTGATTTTCATGCTGTCTTTCTTTGAAAATTGATGTCCCTTTTTTCCTGTGCTGTAGGAGATTATTGCAATGTATTCCAAACCCAAATTTCATTTGTATCTTGAATGTGCAGGGGAACTTCAGGCACACCAGCAGCAATAACTTAGTATCTCGAGAGGAGCTGATGATGGTCCTGTCTAGACTTAATGGATTACAAATCAGAGGTCTTTACTTCACAGAAACTCAGCGGTTAACCTTGGGCGATGTTGGTCTGGAAGAAGCCACCAGTACAGGAAATGGTAATATCGCTTATGCTGTAGAGACGTGTTCCTGCCCTCCTGAATATATGGGTGATTCATGTCAGGTAGGAATTGTCTTTCTTTTTGTTCTGCATCACCCGTGAGACATTGCTCAGAATAACAATATTGATTTGCTCTAGCAGAAAGAAAAGATTATTCACAATGCTTTGACATAAAAGTGCAGCAGAGACCTCTTTTTGAACCATCTTAGCAGTTCAGTGAAAAACTGTAATGTATCCACATAAACTCATGTAGAAAATACATTTATTCAAAGACGTGGTAAAAAACCAAGGTAAGCAAATGTACAAAAAATAGATAAATAAAAATAAAATGTAAGACCAACATAATGTAACCCAGTTAATGTATAACTCTAAACTAAGATTTGCTTAATCAGAGTGTATAAATCTCTGTAATTTATTAAAGGGTGATAAATGCACAAGACTTTCCTTATTTTTATAGGCAACTAACATTTAAGATGCAGTTTGTCAGGTTAGAGTGAAAAAAGCTGCCCCCTATGCAGCTTTCTATGCAGCTTCTTCTACCTTTCTGATTACCCTGCTTATTTTTCGATATTATTTCACTACTGATTTGGCAGCATTGTAACCTTGCGCAAAGCAAATATTTTTTAAGATTAGCCTGTACCCGTCTCAGTTTTCTCCTCAAGTTACAATACTGGGCTTGTTGAAAGTCATTTTGAAAACATTTTCAGTTTTATTTTTAAGTGATTTTATAATCTGTGATATAAAATATTCAGCCGATCAATGAGCGTGCATTTAAACCCTTCTTATTGCTCTCTTTATTCCCTAAGCACACCTTGTCAGGTTTGTGGGTTTGTTTTCTCTAGCCTAGTGAAAATACATAGCCAAAAGCTAGACCTAGACACACTCCAGGAAGGAACACACCCTCTCAACATATTTCCTCAGAATTACTCAGCCTGTGATTTACAAGCTGCTTCATCGTCTAGTACTGTCTCACTATGTTCGGGAGG